AAAGCAAATTGTGAGAAATAATAATAAATCAAAATTAATAGGAAAAAATAAGTTTGGGAAGACTTTTTAGGATGGCTTCAATTTCTCTTAGTTTTAAATTGTTAAAAAAGATATTTTTGAACAATGATGGTGATGGGATAAAGCTAATTGTGAGATTTGATTTTATGAATCTTTTAATAAAGTATATGTTTGGTTCTTATTATTAAGATCAATTTACCAACCATTCTTTGTTACAGGGTCTTTATCTTATGATTTAGAAACAAAATTAAATGAGATATGTTTTGATAAGTAATCTAAAGGCTAAATGAATAAATTAAAATGGAGAATTTATATCAAACTTTTAAATTATAATTAATTCATTTTTATAGTCAAGACCTTTTTTTAGCATATTTAGAGAAATATCCAAAGATATTGAAAAAAACATATAATCAAACCAAAGCATGTATGTATATATGCCAAAGCACACACACACAAATAAGATCAACGTAAACCTCAAAAACAAAACTAAAGAATGGAGAATTCTTCAACATATCATTACAATCCATATGAAGACCTCCCATTACATGAAATTAAAACATAAAGAAAAAAACACATACTTGATCAAATGATTGTCATTACAAAAACAAATTAAACACGATTAAATCTCAAATCCTTTCCATATGAATATATATAGTCCTGAAATTTTTTACTTAGAAAATCTTGGCAACATCTTTCATAAGACCGCTATTGGCACTTGCAAAATCTGAAAATTCTTGGTACGATATGTATCCATCTCCATCGGTATCAATCTCGGCCATCATACGCTTAATGTCGTCGTGCGTGACCGAACCAAGGTTCTTAAGAGCATCTCCAAGCTCGGCCGCAGAGATTTTTCCATCTCCATTAGCATCAAATTTCTTGAAAATACGGTCATGCTCAGTTTTTTCGGTTGCCTCAGCCATTGTTTATAGTTTTGTTTTTTTTTCGTAGGAGCGATTATATGATCGTAAGAGTTTATATAAAGAAATTTGAATGTGAAGAAGTTGAGGCCATGCTTTAAACTAGGCGATTTAAGGAGAAAACTAAATTTACCAAAATTAGAATGTGACTTGGTCTTCCATCAACTGTCATCAATATAACAGAGTTGTATTTTTGTTTTGTTGTTAAAACAATAAAAAAAATTAGTGACCGTTTACTTATTAGAGTTTATTGATAACAATATAAACATGCATATGATGATGATTCGTTTGTAATTGGAAACATGCTTTCTATTACAATGTTAGATCCGGAGATAACTATTCAAATACAAACCATACTTTCAAGTTTCAAGCAAAATCCACTTGAATCAAGATTTTGTATTAGACCTTTTCCTTTGTTTCAAACAACAATGTAAAGAATCATAACAAATACAAAAGTTAATTTGGCCAAAACGGTACATTGTAAGAATAAATCGGAAAACAAAAATCATCGGCTGAAACCAACGGTCTTTTTTTCGGCTTTATATCGATCTTCAAAGATGAAGTTTGAAGTAAAAATAAGTCTTATGAGAGTATAAACCTTCAAGGAGCTCTGTCAAAAGGCTTGGTGTCATTGTAACAAGTATCCCACACTGCTTCCATCGCGTCTTTCGCTGCTACGTCCGAGCAATACGGGTTGCCTCGAAGCGATTTCAACACTCTTCTTTCTATACATTCCTTTAGAGAAAACCGAGGATCGGGTAAATACTAACAAGAATCATCCATTATTCCACAAGTGCTTAATATGATTTAGCTAATTCAATTCTTCTCATATAGTGACTTACTTGTTCATGCCCTCTTAATTTAATGAAACCCCTCAAGAGTTCTCTCTTGAAATGGCAATCGCCGCTTAGATGACCTGCACGTATCTGTTTAAAGAAT